TGGAAAATGACCATGGAGAAGCACAGCACAGCTAAAATTTAACCAAGTAGGAAGTTTCTCACTTCCTAGAATCAAAGCCTATTACACAGCCATGGTAGTTAAAACAGCCTGGAACTGGTACAGTAAGACACATGGGCCATGGAACAGAATTGAGAACCAAGAAGTAAATACATCTACCTATGGACAGCTCGTCTTTTACCCAGGTCAAACACATTAAATCAGGTAGAGATCATCTGCTTAACAAAATTAAATATCTGTTTGCAGATGAATTAAACAGCACTTTTTATCTATCTAACACTGTATTAAAACAAACGAGATAGACAAAGACCTACATGTAATGCCTAGAATTATAAATATTGCCAATGAACAAGTCGAGACAAACTTTGGGTCACTAATTTATGGCATAAACACACTATCAAGCATAACTGGAAACACACAAACACACAACATAACTGGAAACACACAAACACACACACAACATAACTGGAAACACACAAACAACCTAGATGACTGGGATCACCTAAAACTTAGACACTTCAGTGTATAAAGATTTCACCAAGATAATTAAAGGAGAACCCAAAGACCTGAGACGGGTTTAATTATTATTATTATTATTATTTTGGTAATAACACATCAGATGAAGCACTAATCTCTAAAATTTATTTTTAAAAAGACAACCAACAACCAAAATAGTCCTTAGTAAAAAAACCAAACAAAACAAGAAACCAGTCATCATAACCTTCTATTGCCCCTGGCTCTGTGGATCATCCTGGTAAAGCTGGCACCTGTCGAACCAAAAGTTTGCTGAGGCCAAGACGTTCACTAACATTGAAGTTGCCAGATTGTGTGTGATCGCAGATTCAGAAGCTCTCGCATCAGTGGTACTTCTGCGTCTACTGGCAGCTTCTGGACGTCAGACACAGTTTCTTCATTTGTTGAGATCTTCCTTCCTTTCCTTCAAACAGTTGATCCATCTAAAAATTGTTTCCTAAGAGGCAGCATTCCTATGAATGTGTTGCAAAGCTTTGGAAATGTAGGACGATATCCATGTGAGTTGTGTTAAAAAATGTGATACTAGCCCTGACCTTAACAGCAATTTTTCTCCCACAATACAAAAAGTATACTCTTTTTTTAAAAAAGGACACCCTAACAAGACTAAGCCAATTGTGTTCCCAGTGATCATGTCTATTGCTGTCTGCTGATTGGAGAGACATGTTTAAACATGTTCTGTTGGAACTCAACAAAGAATAATATTTACTTACCCTCATGGAAACAGGTGTTGAAAATGGAATCAAATTAAGGAACCATATAGAATTTGTAAGGCAGAGTCCAACAGGAAAAACCAACCCTAAAATTGGTCATGGCCAGGATATAGATACAAAGATGGTTTGCATCCTGTTGGCACAATTAAAAACCCAAGAACTAGGATTTTGTCCAAGAGCGAGATGGGGACTTCTGGTAGCATTAGAGTCAAAACAACTAACAGATACTCTTATAAAAGAAAGTTTCCTCGCACTGCCCTCTAACCTGCCTTTTGTGAGTTTCTTGAATTTTAGATTCTTTTGGATCCCGTGAGAATTGCTGAGAGCAATAATGATAGTAGGACAGGTGAGCTAGACCATTGGAGAAGCTTATGGACCAGGAGTGCAGCAGATGGAAAGCAATGAGAGAGAGCCCCAGAGCTGGGCTGGCAAAGCCGAAGCCAAGAATTCTGAGTGGAAGAGGCTTGAAGGTGAACAGTCATTTTTTCTCTTGAAAAAGTACAGAGAAATCGATTGAAAGAATAGTGGGCAATTCTACTAAAAGGATACAAATTTCCAGTGAGGAGAACTCATAATTATCAGAATATTTTCTAATATTTGTGAACTTTGGGGCCTCAAATCTGGTACTGTGGTCATTTTAAACCTCTGACCTTACACCTTCAACCTGACTCAACTTTTCTCTTTTTGCCATACCTAACAACAGGTATTTTTAAAGCATCTGTTACATACAAGATTCTTTTAAATACTTCTTGGAAAATAGGTAATTACTTGGAGACCTGATCTTTACCGAAATAGGGCAAAGCATATCACTCCAGTGGCAGCATGTTCCCTGGCTTCCCAACAGAAGCCAGCTGCTGGGTTTATGACCCTACAGTGCTGGCATATGCACAGAGTTTGAAAAGAAGAGGGAGGGGACATGACATAAATAAACTTGGAGAACACTTTGAAGTCACCCAGCTGTCACTGTTCCTATTTTTTAATCACCAGATGCATCGGAATCATTATCCCCCCCCCCCAGCTTCAAAGTAGAAACACTGCAGTATTCTGGCCACCCAACAAAAAAGGGATTGGATATCCCCGAGGATGCAGCTACAGTGTAACTGAAACGTTTAATTAATTGTGAATAAAAGTGAACTGCAAAGACCTCCTCATTTAGCTCCTTTTGTTTTCGGTGGCGTGTTTGAAATTGTGCTGACCGTGCTGTAGTGTCTATTGTGTTTGCGTGTGAAGTATGTGTCCTAGTGAGTGTACTACTTCACTGTGGGGGATGAACTTTCAGAGAATTGTAGCCCGTTTTGAAACGTGAAGTGATGCTTTGGGGCAAACTGGCCGGTGGGAAGGATGAGGAGAGTGAATGTAATGCGGTGAACGATAAGCGAAGCCATTGGGACTCTTCTGTCCTCACTTCACATTAACTCTCGCCGAGCATTCAGCCCTCGCCCTCCTGCCTGGATGCCCGGGGTCCACTTAGATTTCTCTTCCCCCCTCTTCTCTTCATCTCTGACAGAGCTCTCTTCTTTTGGGAGGCTCAGATCTACAAGACAGCAGCTCTGAAGGATGGGATACCCTGGGGGGGGCGGGGAGGGGGGATGAGACGTGGCAAACTCACCTTTCTGCAAATGACCTGTAATATTGGACTGGGGCCTGTGATTGAGGCACTGCTCTAGATGGCAGCCACGGCCTAGCACAGGAGCATTTAGATGCTTCACGCACGTTTGTTGACTTAATAAGTAAATTGGAGCGTTTTGCGTATTTATTGATTTTCATGATAACTCAGTATAGGTGGTATTGTCTCCAGTTCACTGAAAAGGGAACATAAAAAGCCTAGGTAACTGGTCCAAGGTGACTCAGCTGGTAAACAACTAAACAAGACAGATGGCCTCACGCCTATGGGGTCCGTTTGCCTGGGAACCACCGAGTTCCGGGGAAAGTCCCAATCACACCAGGATAGCTTGGCCCTCAGGGCTGTTACATTTGAAATTTAACTAACCTAGAAGTGCAGATTAATACCTCCCAAGCCTAATTCTATTTCACAGAAGATTGTATAGTACATGTATAATACATATGTAAAACAACTGTTATGGTTTCTTTTCCACTTGAATTATAGGTAGCTATTTAGAAAAAATGCTTAATTCTAGGATTGGAAGTTAAAAAGGGAAACTAAGCAAAGGTGAGAACCGAGAATGAACGTAGACCATCCCTTCTAGTTTTATAGGGGGTCCCAGAGGCAGGGAGAGAGCTTTCAGGGGGGAGGTGTACAAGGAGAACAATGAACCCGAGTCATTTAATGTCTTCCCTATCAAAGGTTTTGAACAATAAGAGGTAGGCATTTTTAACAATTTCAAACAATTTTCTTATAGCTTATTGAATGTATATACTTATAAATCTCATATACTTATAACTCAATGAAGGGTAGGTATGCTTGAAAATTTTCCATTCCATAGGATTAATGTATGAAAATTATATCGCAATCATATACATTTACATATGCAAAGACATATACAGTGCCTCTGATAGTATTTTTTGGCATACTGTCCTTAATACTATATTTAATAAATATGAAAGTCATGCTCCTCTCATTTAGTTCCTTAAGTGTTTAACTTTATTATTGATAAGTGATGTAGGGAGACGACTACTGTGTTAGAATGGCACCTAATACACATGAGTTAGCAAATAAACTTTTTTAATGAAACATTCAGTACTATTCACATTATAACAAATAATGTGAAGTTTTAATAGAAGAGTTATTTCTCAAACGCCTTTTCTGTCAAGAAATGCTTTAAGAATTTTGCATGTGTTAATCATTTTTTTCCTTCAGACAACCTCAATCAAAAAGGCAGTAGTAGTTATTCTTATTTTGTAGAACAGGAAACTGAGGCACAGAGAGATTAAGATAATTCCCAGGATCTCTAGGAATTTACAGATCTAAGACTCAAAGCTTGAGTTTTGTGACTCCGAAGCCTGACCTCTCAACTGCCTCTCTTGCAATATTGTGCCCTTGACTTGATTCTGTCTCCTAGTGACCCTGACGGGGTTTCCAAGACGGTACATCTCTGGAGGAGCAGGCAGCCTCATTTTCCTTCTGAGGAACAGCTGGTAGATTTGACTTGTCAGCCTTGTGGAAACAGCCCAATACCAAACCCACAGTACGACCAGGGTTCCTTTCTACAGTGATAAAACAAAATCATCGAGTCAATTCCAATTCATGGCAAGCCCACCAGGGCAGAGCATAATGGCCCCTCTGGGTTTCTGAGACTGTAACTCTTTACAGAGGTAGAATATCTATCTTTCTCCTACAGAGCAACTGGTGGTTTCGAACTGCTGACCTTGTGGTTAACAGTTCAATGTGTAACCACTACGCCACCAGGGCTAGATAAATTACTTTCTTCCATGAACAGACCATAACTCCTAAGACCTTCTATTAGTCATGTCAGAGTATCATCTTAGTCAGAATGCTATAGTGACTTTTTGATGTGGTGCCTGATGAAGAAATTATGTCAGAAACTTTAACAGTTCATTTTGAGAAGTATACATTATCTCAAATATCATGTTATATTTCATCTCTAAATTGAGAGTTTCAATTTATAGTAGTTTATCTGATAGCATGCTAAAGAATAAATATTAACCTATGTGGCATTTTTTTGTTTGATAAAAGTTACGATACCCCGATATTTTATTTTGCCTTCAGAAGAACTCTATCATAACAAGCAGGAAATTTAATAATTTGCTTCTTTATAGAAAATCATTCTGCACCTCCTGATGTAACCACTTACACCTCAGAACCCTCGATACAGGTGGAAAGACCACAAGGCTCAACAACATCGAGAGCTGCACCAAAGTATGGCAACGCTGAGCTTATGGAGACGGGCGATGGTACGTCTCAGAGCAGCTCCTCCTCCCTACTGACTCCCATTGCAATGTCGTGGCTTGTGTTTCTCAGATGTACTACAGATGCAACTGTCATTTATCAGATTCTTTAGGAATCTCCCTTGTAAAGTGGGGAGGTATAAGCACAAGAAATACAGAGTTTCTCCAAGCTGAGTTACAGGGGGAAAAATGTTAATGTTACCGAAATCTATATTCTAAGATTATGTGCTCTCTCTCTCTCTCTCTCTCTCTGACTCTCTCTCTCTCTCTCATGTTGTTCCAGCAGTTAAGAGAGAAGGGTTTAGATGTTAGGGCCAGTACAGAATACCTAAAAAGGGCAAGATGACTTTAGCTGGGAGAGAGAAAGAATGGACAGATACAGTCAAAGCCCTGAAGTTACTCCGTTCCATGAAGTAGCCAATTGGTGTATTCACAGTCACTCCATCCAGTCCCATTATTATTGATTTTTCTTGAACGCTTTTTTATTTCAGGGTCCGCTTTAGTTCTACTAAATTCATTATTTGTTAATTGGCCGTTGTTACCCTTATTATTTGAGTAATTCTGTTGTTTTTGACATTCATCATCTGGCCTCCGTGCTACCAGGTAAATCCGAATTATATCATGTCTAGTTCAGTGATTCTTAGTGTGTGAAGACCTCTGACTTCAGACCCTGAATGTAAGGAATCAGAAACTCTAAGGGTGCAGGGGGTAGACAGACACCCTAGGATGACTCTTCTTTGCTCTAAATCAGTGGTCCTCAACCTGTAGGTCATGGCCCCTCTAGGGGGTCAAATGACCCTTTCACAGCTGTCGCCTAAGGCCATCGGAAAACACCTAAGTATTTCACAATATATAATTACATGTTGTTTTGTGATTAATCACTGTGCTTTAATTATGTTCAATTTATAATGATGAAAATACATCCTGCATATCAGATATTTAAATTATGATTCATAACAGTAGCAAAATTACAGTTGTGAAGTAGCAACAAAAATAATTTTATGGTTGAGGGGTCACCACAACATAAGGAACTGTATTAAAGGGTCATGGCATTAGGAACGTTGAAAACCCACTGGCCTTGTCATATGGTCTCTGATTCACTTAAACCCAAGTAAAGTGGGATTGTTTAATAGAAAGCACTGTGTGGAGACTGAGACCTCTCGAGTGTGTGTTTTCAGGATTTTAAATATTTAATGCCTCAATTCTGAAAATCCCCACAATCATCTTTCAACCTCTTGCTGAGATATTTTTATTTGATTAACTATTTCTCCTTGAGCTTGGTCACAACCATTCCAAGAGTTGAAGTCTGCTCTGGGTGCTCTGTGTGATCCAGTGTAGTGGAGAATGATGACTATGCCACTGAATTATTAAGGGCATGAACCCCAATGCCCATAAGACTCTGCCAATAAACACCCCAAACCCTTGTTACTTGGGGAGTGTTTTCCAGTGCCTTTCAGGGGGATAAGGTTTGCCTGCATAGAAGATACATTCGATTTAAGATTGCCAACAAGAGCATTGGTATTCTCTTTGGATTGTTATCTTGAAATTTTAAAACACCATGACTTTTTCACTTACTGGTTTACTTATTCCATTTTTTTTAAAGTAATACCACTGTCATTATTTTAAGTACTAAATTTATTCTAAAATTAGGATAAATTTTCTAGGTACAAATGGATATAGACACACACATCTGAATTGCCAGGCTTCTAGATGCCATTGCCTAAATATTCACTGAAGTAAGTGGAGCACTGAAAGACAGTATTGATACCATCAGCTTTATTGGTAAGAGGAAAGGGTCTCAACATGCTGATGCTAAATTCTGGCTCCATTGTCTTCAGTTTTTCACCGAGGGTTCCCCTCCTTTCAACAGGTTGTGTTGGGACAGCATCAGTTACTTGTCCAATAGTGAACGCTAGTCCAGATACTGAGCGCACCACCAGAATATTCTTCCTGGACTCACTGAGGAAGAACACTAGTGGTTTTAAGACAAATTTTCAGGGAAGCGAGTTGCCACTCAGCATTTTATGGCTCCTGTTGAGAAAGAAACACCATCTGTAGACAACAAATTCTGTTTTACAAATTAGAAGTGAGATCAAGCCAAACGCATGGTCCAGAGGCTTTTCCGTTCTTTAGAATCCTTAGGCGTTGTCCAGTTGTGAAGAGATCAACCTGCTCTTAGAGCCCTAGAGGTGAGACACTGAGCACTAGTTTCACGGCATCTTTCATTGTGATAGCTTGTTCAGAGTGCACTGGTGGCTAAAAGTCAGTTAATCTAGCCCATAGATTCCCAAACTTATTTGTGCTACCACCCCCCTTTTCAGAAAAAATCACAAAGGCGCCCCCTTGGCAACTAAAAACTGTTGTACTGTAGCCCATAATGTAGGTTAAAATGTAGACATCTGCTTCTGCACACTCCCCTACGTGTCCCCAAGACACCCTTCCTAGATTATTCCAGTGACCCCTAAGGGCCCCCCACTTTGGGAAACCCTGACCTAACCCGTGATGGTGTCTGTTTTTCAGGAGTACCAGTAAGTAGCCGAGTATCAGCGAAAATTCAACAGCTTGTAAATACCCTCAAAAGGCCCAAACGACCGCCCTTACGGGAATTCTTTGTTGATGACTTTGAAGAATTGTTAGAAGGTAAGAGAACCCTTCACCCTTGCTTCCTTTTTGTCAGGTGCTACTATGATGTCACAGTGTCTAGTGGTATTTTTTCTACTAACACCAATTAGGTTATTTTTAGGACAATAAAAGTGGCATCAAAAATATGACAGGCATCTCAATAAGAGGATATAGGTCCCCAAGGGTCACTTTCAAGGTACTGGTGGTACAGTTGGATAAGCTAGGACTCTTTTTCAGACCTCTATAGGAAATGTCGCAGAGACACAAGTGTATCATAGAAAACCTTAGCTAGCAGTGAAGCCACTCTCTCTGAGTAAGTTAAGTGAAAGACAGATTTGTAGTGAGACATGGTACAGAGGATCGTTTCTCAAAGCAGAAGCTGAACATCTGAAAGTGAGTGCTTGCAAGCCTTTTGAAACAGGCATGTTAAAAACAGAATATGTACTTATTATATCAAACCCAAACCACTTAAATGTCTTGATCTTTTACCCTGAGTAAGTGGTTGGTTTTTCTGTCCAGCAGGTGGAAGTTGCCAATAATAAACTGTAAGAGAGAAAACGTTTCCAAACATGGAAGAAATAATTTCAATTTATTACCTGTCTAAGCTAGAGATTGAGCATGTTGTATTTTTAACTATTCTGTTTTATTACAGTTATTTTTTATTTCCATGTTACTTCAAAAAACATACCTCCATGCCCACATGTACACTTGGCTATAGCAGATTCAAATTTAAATCTCAGTATCTGAGGAGAAATTTAGAGCACCAGAACTCTTAGAAGTCCAAGATTATTAATATGTGTTGATAATATTTTAAATTCAAGATTCAGAACTAGAGATTTCAATTCTAGACTTTCAACACATTGTCAGTTGATAAGTGTATTCAGCTATAGTAACTTCTCCATTCTAACGTTTTAGAAATTATAAAAATTTAATTGCTTCTTTTAAGACCAAAGCTACTATACAGATCACAGGTCTGAATTTAGAAAAGCATATGTTCATGTTTTTTCGGTCAGGTAGTACATTGTATGCCTCAAGCATAAACCTCCTCTCAACTCAAGTTCACTGCCCTCTAGTCGATTCTGACTCAAGCCACCCTACAGGTCAGGGAGGAACTGTGGTTTTCGGTAACTGTAACTCTTCCCGGGAACAGACGCCTCCTTCATCTCCCAACAAGCAGCTGGTGGTTTTGACGTCACAGCAGCTCAACTCGTAATCACAAAGCCCCTCCTATTCATGCCTTTTACAGGACATTAGTAATTGTGCTCGTATTAATGACTGTTTTCAATTTTGTGTTCAAATTAGTTCAACAACCAGATCCCAACCAACCAAAGCCAGAGGGAGCCCAGATGTTGGCAATGCGTGGGGAGCAGCTGGGCGTGGTCACCAACTGGCCGCCATCTCTGGAAGCTGCGTTGCAGAGATGGGGAACCATCTCACCCAAGGCCCCCTGCTTAACCACTATGGACACAAATGGAAAACCACTGTACATCCTCACTTATGGTAATTGACTGCAGTTATATTTTTGGTTTGCATTTTTTAAAATGCGTGTGCTGTTAGAATTCTGTTCTATCAGCTTGTGCCGCTTTTTCTTAGACCTTTTTGGTGACCTTCTTCTGCAAGAGTTTAGATGGACATCTTTTCTCTCCTTTGATGTCTGCTTGTGTGCTCCATGCACATCCAGAACTTAGTCCTCCCATCTACATAGACAGTGTCCGGAGCTAACCTCATTACCCAGCACATAATGAGCATATAATTCAGTACTTTCTTAATACACTTTTACCTAGTGAATTCTTTTTTAAAATTATTTTAATTAGGGTGATCTAGAACAACCCTTCCACTATTTTTAGGTCTCAGATCCTGAATTTTCTGGACATTGTCTGCTCCATTGAGCACTCTATTTTTAAAGGCTCAATTCAAATGCCACTTCATCTGTGTTAGCACTTTGTGTTTCTAAATTCTGTGTGTGTGCTTCTGGTGATAATTAATACAAATCTCTTTAGATTATAATGAGTTATGTTGTGTTATTTTCCTTCTACACTAGAAAGGAAAGTTCCTTAATAACAAGAACTACATCTCTTTAATCTCTCATTGAGTTAACATTATATTTCTAGCAAAACACGTATTAATAGCTGAAGTGGATTCTTTTAATTCAATCCCCTACCAATCCTTTGAGAGTATTTTATTTTTATCCTTATTTTTAAAGATGAGGAAAAAGAAGATTTTTTTCATTGATACTTCCAAAAAAAAAACCTGACAGTTTAGTAGTTACTCTGTGTTTAGGAAATCACTCCTGTGCTGGAGGGTACTTCAAAATGATCATTGAAATTGATACATTTCCAAAGGACTGATAGGCCAAGAATGACTATCTAGACTTTTTGACATACGTTAAAGGAGAAGGAAAATGTTTCTAAAGTACTTTCTAAAGAAAAAAAATTATCATTCAATGGAATTAGTGCAAATGGTGAACTCTTCGCAGGTACTTAACTATATTATACAAATCCATTTGCCTTTGTGCCTGGTAGAAGATGTGAAGAAAGCAGGTAATTTTCACACCATCTGCTTTAGCTTGGCAAATAAACTAGCTTAATAGCTCTAAGACCAAAATGGCTCATGCTATTCTGTATATGTGAAGTTAGATTACCTGTATTCATTTTTTCCCTTTGTTTTTATGGCAATATGCCTCCAATTGCAGGTAACAAATTGTAGGTAAGAGCAAAATCCATTTCAACGTCGGCCATCTAGGTCAAAAGCCAGATGCTATGAATAATGAGTCTGGTCCAGCCTTTCTGAAGATGAGATATCTCTAGAGGCACCAGCTGTTAACTCATAGTCATTATCCTGTGCATGAAGGTTTCATTGACCAAAATAGGATTTGGGTTCAGGAATGTAGCCCCTTTGTTTTTATCGCTTCACTGGGTAATTTTAGATGGATAAAGGAATATGTCACCTATGATGAGGCCTAATCTTTAACTTTTCTTTTTATAAAATATGCTCATGGAAGTAGATTTTGTTCAGTCAAAAAGAGAAAACAGTTTTCTGTATAGCCCTTATCAACTTGTTGAATTTCCTTGTAGATAATTGTATACATGGACTTGCTTCTCTTGTTCCTCTTTTTGCAAGTTTAAGGTGAATTTGAGTTACAAAACACAGACTAAATGCTAAGTCCATGTGTCTACAACAAGAAATTTCAACTCCTGCTTCTAAGTCATCTATATTTTGTTTATTTTGATCATCTATATTAGTAAAATGCTGTAGGTCAATTTGGGTTGTACTTATTAAAGGAATACACGTCAGAGTATAAGGTTATATTGCACCCAGCAATATGTGTATGAACTATTGATTGGAAACCTAACTTGCTCGGTAAACTTTCACCTAAATCACAATAAAATGGTTTTTTTTTAAATGTCAGGTTATAAATGATCAACATACCAAATGAAATGTTGACTAACCATAGGAAAATATAGGGACATTTAAAAATAAATGAACATATTTACTGAATATATTGTTCTGAAGGATCCAGAAAAATTCACCAGTTAAAAGCTGTTCCATTACCTAGTAACTTGATACACTGAATGACTATAGGATTCAAAGGATTGTAGTTCCTTCGTCTTGCTTGGATCCATAATCATTGCTCTTGGGAGCAGCAGTTGAGATCAAATGGGGCATTGCTTTGAGGAAATCTACTGCACAAGCCCTCTCTCACGTGTTGAAAAGCTACTCTGAGGACCAGGGTGCGCCTGACCTAAGGCATGCTACTTGTAACAGCCTCATATGCATGTGAAAAGTAGATATTCAATAAAGAAGAACAAATGCATTTAAATTATGTGCTAACAAAGGATATTGAAAGTACCAGAAATCTGTGTTGGAGGTACAGGCAGAATGCTCCTTAGAAGGGAGATGGTGAGACGTTGTGTCCTGTACTTTGGAAAAGTCATCAGGAGAGACTAATCCCTGGAAAAGTAGCAGGGCAACAAAAAGAGAAAGACAACTGGATTGACACAGTGGCTTCAGCGGTGGGCACAAGCATAAGAACAATTGTGAGGATGGTGCAGGACCGGGTGGGGGTTCCGTCTGCTACGCATAGGGCCGACGTGAGTCAGAACTGATCAACTGCACTGAACAACACACCTGCTGAATGAGAAGATTGTGGGGAAAACCATTAAAAATCAAAATTTCCCTTAATCACCCTCCACTTAGTAGAAACTTTCCAGTATTCTTCTTTATTTTCTCTCTAGCTGTAGTGAAATATCTGTAAATTCATTTCACTTTTGCCATGTGCATTCTCTAGGAAGGAAATACTTTTCTTTTTTGGATTTGTTTGTGTGATTTTTTTCTTATAACTCTGTTTCCAAAAATTTAGAGCTAAAAAAGCACTACACCCATTGCCATCAAGTTCATTCCCATTCACAGTGGCCACCATGTACAGAGTTTCCGGCTGTAAACCTTAATAGTCACAGACAGCCTCTTCTTACTCCCAGGAAGGCTTGTTAGGTTTGAACCAGCACCTTGCAGTTAGCAGGCCAAGGCCTAACCCATGGCCCCACCAGGGCTGGTTCATTAAATTTCAAGTGACATTAAAATGAATTTCTGTTCAGCGTTTACATTATTGTCACGTCTTTTTTAATTGAAATGAACAATTTAATGTAGGAAGAGAGGGGGCTTTAAAAAGTTGATGGAAAATAGGATTGAAAAAGAATACAGTTTTCCCATAAACTTCATTTTCCCTCACATTCTTTCTTTTTCTTTGAAAATGTGACGTCTATTTCTAGAATGATGTCAAAAGTATACCTATGTGGTTTTTGCTCATTGCAAACCATCTATTGCCAATTGAGTTTTTGTGTGAATCCATGATGACGTTGACTTTAGATTTCTGAGCTCAGAGGGAAATGGAAACTCTAGTGAAATATAATGGTCATAGTTGTAAGATTGTGTTGATTTGTTAATTAACAGCAAATTGATTTTCTCAATTATAACAAGCGGATAGTAATTGTTTATTCAACTCTAATATTTCCCTAATTATGCTCACATTTTAGAAGATCTGAAGACAACATAATTCGGTTTTCAGGAAAAAGTTAGTCTAGATTTCCAAATAAGCTGATGATAGTTTTAGGGCCCTCTCCACCGCAACCTCTGTCCCTCCTCATCTCAATGCCAAGTCCGTTTGAGGATGGTTTTGTTGATGAGAGGACAGGTAAAGGAGTTGGGAATCAAGAAATAATTATATCCAGAACCCTTCATTGATCTAGGAGCTCTGGTCGTGCAGTGGTTAGCAATGGGCTGTGCTCCCTAAGGTCAGCAGTTTGAAACCACCAGCTGCTCCACAGAAGAAAGACTGAGCTTTCTACTCCCATAAAGAGACAGTCTCAGAAACTGGCAGGGGTCGTTCTGTCCTATCCCATAGGGTTGCTGTGAATCAGCATTAACTTGATGGTAGTGAGCTTGGTTTTTGGTTTTCATTGATCAAAAAGTATATGACAGGTCATAGTATAAATCTGTCCTTTGTTAGAGCAAGCTTAAACCACAAAAGAACCATGTATTGAACACATACGATGAAGCAGGAATCATCCTTGAAATTGGAGGGCTTTAAGAGCATTACGACATTTTCTTTGTCATTTAAATATCAAGGGGTAGACAAGTTGATATGTACAGGCTTCAAAAAGCTTGTCGGAAAAATTACATTATCTCTTAATTCCATTTTCCCACAGACTTTTTGGAAGCTTCCCCCATAAATGATAGGATAATGATCTCCAAAAACACGTAGCGGCAAACTTGGCCTATACGGTAGAAATCTTTCCCCCATAATTTATGTGATCATAGTTTAAACTTCCTATGATTTCCCAGGAGCCCTGGTGGTGCTCTTGGGTGAGCATTGGACTGCTACCCCAAGATCAACGGTTTCAACCCACCAACTGCTCTGTGGGACAAAGATGGGACCATCAGCTCACAAAAATATTTGCAGCCGGGAAACTACATAGGGTTGTTATGGATTGGAGTTGACTCAATGTCTCGGTTGGGTTTCACTTTGGCATGGCTTTCTCGTAGGGATTTTGCACACTACAAGGGGTTCTGTTTAGTTTGGGTACCTAGATTAAGTGTTCGGGTTTCTCTGGTTTTTATGAGTGTTACATCTTGATTGCAGGGACACAGGGTAACTTGAATGCTTAAAATGAAATCGGAAAAACAAAAACCTTTGGACAACGGTTGTTAAATCTACTAAGATTTCTTAAGGACCCTCCATTCCCAGTTTCCATGATCAGATAGTATTAGCTCCATTAATGATAACCTTGTAATAACACAAAGACCTTTGGTTCCCTCCCTATGAGTACACAATATCAGAAGGAAAGTTCGGTTTAATTTTTTTGTTGTTCATTTTTCCTGAAGTTTGTTTTTAAGACCTTCTGCTCTTCATGACCTAGGACATTTTCTATTTTTTGAAATTAATTTTAATTTTAAATTAAAATTAAATTAAATTTAATTTAAAAAAATCATTTTATTGGGGGCTTGTCCAGTTCTTATCAAATCTATACACACATCCATTATGTCAAGCACATTTGTACATTTGTTGCCATCATAATTCTCAAAGCATTTGCCTTCTACTTGAGCCCCATATTCTATTTTTGACTACCTCATTTTCAATATCGTCTCTACTAAGAGTTACTGTATATACTGTGTATAAGCCAAGTTTTTCCAGCACATTTCTAATGTAGTTTTTGTGGTAAAGTTAGGTGCCTCGGCTGATATTGGGGTCAGCTTATACTCAAATATATACGGTACTTCAGTATCACATATTGAAGGCTTCAAAAAGTTGGTAGAAAAATTTCAGTATATTTTAATTCATTTTTTTCTACAGACTTTTCAAAGCCCCCTCAGAGAAAAATCCAATGGATGCATGTGATATAAGTTCATTTGGAGAATTAAAACCTATAGCTTTAATGTCTATGTGTATGTAAAATGGAAACTACATGTGAGTAATAATCCAATTACTTTTCTTTTATTCTTTGTGTTGATAGGCAAACTGTGGACAAGAAGTATGAAAGTTGCTTACAACATTCTACATAAATTGGGGACAAAACAAGAACCTATGGTGCGACCTGGAGATAGGGTACGTGCAAGTTAACTCTTTCATGACCAAATTATGCTTTGCATTTTTGTTGTCTTTGAAGCCATGGGTTTTCAGAAATGGAAGACATAATGAAATCCAGGGGACATTTATGGGTAGTAGACATTTTTATTCAATTCTGTGGGTTATGCCCCAAGTGGACTCTAGTGATAGGACTGGTTGAGGGAGTCCCATTTTTTAGATTCATTTAGTCAGGCAGATCCCTTCCAGGTGGCAGCATGCACAAGAACTGGGATAGAAGTTTTCCAAGAAATGTAAGCAGCTGAGAATATAGGTGGGAGCTACATGCCCCACAAGTCTTCAAATAGTTAAATTATTGGCTCATCAAAATGCATAGTCTTAGGTTAAACATATACGTAATATGACCACTACTGAATAAGGTGTTTTTTGTTTGTTTGTTTGTTTGTTTTACAGGAATGATTATGTTTAATGACAAATCATTTCATCTTTACAACTCCAAGGGTTAAGTTTTAATATTTCTCCACAAAGACATTAAAGCTTAGTGAGGTTATGTATGAATTTTTTTAGGTACATCTATAACTAGTGTGTGCCACAGTCGGCACTCATTTCTATCAAACTACAAATTCCATGAGCTTCACCACAGTGGGCGCAAACATAAGAACAGTTGTGAGGATAGTGCAGGGCTGGGCAGTGTTTCTTTCTATTGTATGTAGGGTCACTGTGAATTGAACCAATTCAATGGCGCTTATAACCACCACCACCACTGCTGTTATCTAAATATACTGCTTGTGTTGTGAACATGGCCAGGAAGGAAAATTATATATTGAACTCTTCTTTAAAGCTTGATTAGTGATACAGACATTATTGGCAGCAAATTGTTGCTACTGTTCTTTTTGCAGTGTTAATTTTCTTGACATATACTGTCTTGGAAAGCAAATTTTATTTTATATTTACTGCAATCTGGTGAGTTAAAGAATACAGATATTAGACCTATAACAAGTAAAAGTGATGTTGCAGCCTTTACATACCAATATAGATGTGGGGCTGGGCATAGAACTCAGTGTCTTATCTTCAAATATGTACTTTTTTTGGCTACATGTTAAATATCTTTGAATCTCCAAGATTATTTCACCTGCCCCCAAAGGATTCTATATGAATTCTTTAAAATTGTTGGAGCACTGCAAATCAGTGAGAACCACTGTTCTAAAGTTTTCCATAAACTATTCATATGTGTAAATAATTATTAAATAAGCCCACATAATTGTAGTATTTACTTGACAGTGACCTGTTATTGCAATACATGGAATTCTTATTCTCTTTGAAATTTTATTTTTATAAAATATAGTTTTCCTCAGAGTAATGAAAATTATTTTATTACAGACACTTTTCATATGAAGGATTTCTGTTAATGCTACTTGAAGGATCCATTCTTGGGCTTCACAAAAGATGTTTATAATATCGAAAAATAATAAGTATCCAGATTTTATAGTAGGAGGTATGGAAGATGGAAAGATACATTCAGCTTTAAGCCAGTCTTTAGGAAGTTTGAAGTACTGAAAATAAAATGTAAAGCCATATTAATAGTAGCTTTTATATAATTTTTCAGTGTTAACAGCCCCCAAAAGAGACACTAACAGATATACTCAGTTCAATGGGAGGGAGAAGATCTATTTCATATGGGGAGCCTCTGGGAATCTGAGAAGACTTCTCTGGGGAGACAATCACGTTCACTCTTGATCAGGAAGTAGGAACTAGTAAGAAAAAGGAAGTAAGATAGGAAATCCAATGGTGGACTAAAGAACCAAAAAGCCCCTCACATGGACTCTTGAGCTGGGTATATGAAGATCAGTAGAAGGACAGGTGAAGTAGGTTGGAATCCAGTTAACATAAAAAGCCTTAATGTACATCTCAGTAGTGTGTCTTTCAGCTCCTGATATGCTTATGGTTGCTGTTATAAGGATAATTAGGTACAATAAAGTATCAAGGCAACACATAGAGAATTAGTAAAGGAAGCTTGAGACTATGTGGGTTTATAAAAATTTTGCCTCTGTGTATTTACACAGTATTGTACTGTGACAAATCTGGAGTCTAAAAGTAAAACGGGATTTGTGAGTGTTGACATATTGGAAACCTTTTACTATTAAAATTTGTTTTCATAAAAACTAAGAACATTTTTCATTTGACCACGTGCCCTAGATTACCAGTGATTTACCTATCTGTTCACTGTTCCTTGGGTTTCTGTCTGTTTCAGGTAGCACTGGTATTCCCCAACAACGACCCTGCTGCTTTCATGGTAGCATTCTATGGTTGCTTACTTGCCGAAGTTGTTCCTGTCCCCATTGAAGTGCCACTTACAAGAAAGGTAAAGAGAATACAATTCCAGTAAATCCCTTAAAGACAAATGACAGGTCCCCAGCCAATCACAGGTTGTGTTGTGAGGTAAGCAGGGTTTCCAACTAGTTCATTCCATCCAGGGAGACACCCTACTGAGAATGCACCTTTCTACCTCAGCTATACTGAATCAGACTCTGCAGTTTAACCAGATCCCCAGGTGATCTTAATTATACGTACGAAGCACCTCTTAACTACAAGTCAGCAGCAGCTGGGGATCTGGTGGAATGATTCTGATTCCGTATAACTAAGGTTGGAAAGGCAAATTCTTATTAGGGGTTGGACTGGAAAGAACTCGTTCAAAGCCTTTAAGGAAAGACTATTCAGACAGTAGTCCTTAAAGTGGATTTCAATCTCAGACAGTTCTTTGTTTCTGAGCCTCTACTGGCTCTCATAGTTATCTCAATAAAAGGAACAGCTATTAGCATACACAGCATGACTGAACTGCAGGATTCACCAGCAGCAATTTCTCAGAGGCAGAGTTTATGTTTATATGGTAACAGACCATTACGCTAAATAGTCTCAGTTAGTGAAGCAAGTGTTTCATTCTCTCGTTTTGTGGTATCATGGGCACTACATATCCAAATTAATAATACATTTATCCTTCTTGCTCTTTTTTGTTTTCCTCCTTTCCTTCTTCCCTCCTTTTTTAAACAAAATTGGGATTTGGGTGAAATTTTACAGAGCAATCTGATCTTACATTCAAACATTCTTAATGATTTTTATTCTGTTTCTCCATCTCCTTAAAGAATATTGATAGAGTGCATGGGTTTGGATTTGTGGCAGGTCGATCCCATGGGCCACTCACAGTGTCCCATGCCAAAGCATACTGGAACCCCGAACCATTGCCTAGCTTTACCCCATGGGCTTCAGGCACTGAAGCAGTTTGCACAGTGGAAAAAAAAAAAAAAGAACATTGATAGAATCTGGATTGAGATTACTTTATACTTACTGATCACTTTGAGTAGTATTGACATTTTACACAATGTTAAATCTTCTTATCCATGAGCATGGCATGTTTTTCCATTTATGTAGGTCTCTTTTAGTACCTTGTGTTAAGTATTAGGCTGTTAACTGTAAGGTTGGCTGTTCAAACCACCAGCCACTCTACAGTAAGAAGAGGAGACTTTCTTCTCCCATAAAAATATCACTCTGGGAGACCCAAGGCAGTAGTTCTTTCCTGTCCTATGAAGTCAGTGAAATGAAATGGCTCAATGGCAGTGGGTGGTTTAGTTTCCTATAGTAGTGTTGCATAGTTTTCTTTGTAGAAATCGTTTAGATCTCTATAGCCCCTCAAAACCCAAACCTACTGCTCCTAAGTTGACTGTGACCCAGGCCAACCCTTTATAAAGGGTTTCCAAAGCTGTAAAAATTTATAGGAGTAGATAGCCTCATCCTTCTTCCATGAAGTAGCTGATGAGATTGAGCTGCTGACCTTGCACTTTGCAGCCCACTGTGTAACCCATTGCACCCAGGGCTCCTCCACAACCCCTCAGAGTATTCTATTATTAGTCATTTAATTTCAACTGGTCCTGTTGGGATGTCACTCAGTCCACTTCTTATTCATGATATGTGCATCTTCGTTTTTTCCTTTGTTAATTTGGTTAGTATTTTCTAAGGACCAATTTCTAGTCTCGTTTATTCTTTCCATTTTGTTTCTGTTTCATTTATTTCTGCTTTGAAATTTATTATTTCATTTCTTTTAGTGAATGTAGGCTTGCTTTCTTTTAAAATCATTTTATTGGGGCTCTGACAGCTCCTATCACAATCCATACATTGTGTCAAGAACATTTGTACATATGTTGCCATCATTATTTTCAAAACATTTTCTTTCTACTTGAGCCCTTGATATCAGCTCCTCATTTTTCCCTTCCCACCCCCACCCTCTGGCCTTTATGAAATCTTGATAATTTATGAATTATTATTTTTTCATGTCTTACACCAACTGCTGTCTCCCTTCACCCACTTTTCTATTCTTCATCCCCTTGGTGGGTGTTATAAGTCAATCATTGTAATCTATTCCCCCTTTCCCCCCCGCATCTTCCCCCTACCCTCCTGGTATCACTACTCCTATTATTATTGGTCCTGAGGGTTTTATCTGTCTTGGATTCCCTGTGTTGCAAGCTCTTCCCTGTACCAGAGTACATACTCTGCTGTAGCCAGATTTGTAAGATAGAATAAGGGTAATATAGTTGGGGGGGAGGAAGCATTAAAATACAAGAGAAAAGTTGTATGTTTCATTTTCTACAGATGAGCTTTGGGTCTCCTCTCCACCCTTCCCCTCATTCACATCAATATGATTTTTTGTTCTGGGTCTTTGTTGCCTGATACCTGATCCCATTGACACCTCATGATCATGATCACACAGGCTGGTGTGCTTCCTTGTGAGCTTTGTTGCTTCTCAGCTAGATGGCCACTTGTTTATCTTCAAGCTTTTGAGACCCCAGACACTATATCTTTTGTAGCTGGGCACCATCAGCTTTCTTCACCACATTTGTTTATGCACCCATTTTGTCTTTAGGGATTGTGTCGGGAAGGTGAACATCACAGAATGCTAGATTATTAGAACAAAGTGTTCTTGCATTGAGGGAGTACTTGAGTGGAGGCTCAATGTCCATCTGCTGCTTTAATACTTAACATATAAATCAGGCGTCCGCAAACTATGGCCCGCGGGCCACATGAGACCCGCCGAGGACATTTATCTGGCCAGCTGGGTGTTTTTGCCCTGTTTATTTTTTTACTTCAAAATAAGATATGTGCAGTGTGCATAGGAATTTGTTCATTTTTTTTTAAAACTATAGTCCGGCCCTCCAGCGGGTTTGAGGGACAGTGAACTGGCCCCCTGTTTAAAAAGTTTGAGGACCCCTGATATAAATATATGTGTATAGATCAATTTCCCTATCGATGTTTATAAATATATTTACATATATACATGACTATATTTAGACCTCAATAAATGTCCTTTGCCTCCTAGATTTTTCCTCTATTTCCTTTTACTCTCCCCTTGGCTATATTGTACTTGATCAAGCCCCAGCAGGCATCCTACACCCTCCTCGCCATCGATTTTAGAGCACTGTTGTTCCCTTGTCCCTGGGTTTGTTGACTCCCCCCCTCCCTTTCCCCTGCCTCCCCCTCTGCAGTCTCCCCATGAAACAATCTGTCCTGTTGTTTTCTCCTCCAGATTGTTTATCCCACCGATCTTATCTAGATAGACATGTAAAAACAATAATAAAACACAAAAACAACAACAAAAAGAAAAGCCTATAAATAATTCCAGGTCTGTTTGTTGACCTTTATAAGTATCTTCTGGTTGAGTCTGATGAGGTGCCATGCCCTGCCCCCAAAGTCTAATTTTGGGATTTCTCTGTTGCACGCCCTTAATATTTTGCCCTTCTGTGGTAGGGTCAGATCGGGCACAATTCCTGCACTGTGTCTCCAGTGTTGTTCCCCGCAGTGCTATGGGTCAGTGAGGAACACCGTGTCTCCTCGTGGGGCCGGCCCTATGGTCTTCTCTGTGCATTGGCTACTCTGCTCTGAGCAGGAATATCATCCTTGGGGCTTGGTGGGCCACAGTGAGTTCCACTCTCTCTTTCTCTCTCCTTCCCTCTTAGTTTGCTTCTCTGTGCTTTGAGCAGACATGCCCCTCTACCCAAACTGTAGCTTCAGTGCTGTCCTCCAAAGTGCATTCTTCAGCGGTGGTGGTGGTGGTGGTGGTGGTTGGGGTCAGGGGGGGACGTGTTCCATGTAGCTGGGAATGGGGCCAGCCCTAGAATGTAGGCTTTCTTGCTGATAATTTTCTAGTTGTTGGAGTTATTGTTTTAAGGTATTGATAATGATTTTTCTTTTTTTTTTATGTATGCATTTATTGCTATAAATTGACCTATGAGTACTGCTTTTGCTGAGTCACACAGGTTTGGGTATGTTGTTTTTTCATTATCAATTTCTTATCATTTTTAGCAGGTTGTTATCCCATACCCATATATTTTATTTCTTTCCATGTGATCATCTTATTCTAGATTTCTAATTTTAAAGCATTGTGATATGAAAAATTATTTTTGCCTTTTATTGGAAGTGGTGTGTTAAAATTTCCCTTTATGTTATAGAGCTGTCTGTTTCTCTTTTTCAAATGTATGAAGGTTTGTTTTATGTATTTTGGGCCATTTCATTCAGTGTAGATATTTATTATCATTATGTTCTTTTGTTGGATTGACCCTTTAATCATATGATACCCTTCCTGGTGCCTTATGTTGGCTTTTGCTCTACATTATTTTTCTGATTAGCCCTAAACTAAAATCTAATAAAGAAGAATATGATATTTTCTCTTTGATTTATATTTAATTCAAAGGTTAGCGTCTCAGTCTCTATGATGAAGTTTCTCATGTTCTCTAAGAAATATTGTCAAATATATATTTAGAGAATATATTATATAGTATTATATATTACATATACTTATATAATATATAATCATATTTAATATATATTATTACATATATTTAGAGAAAACTTAAATGCTAATAAACATATTGAAGCAAGAGTTTCAATAAGCCCACAAAAATATTACAGTTATTAATAATATACCCACTCCTTACTTATCAACATGGTTAGGTTCTAAAGTACAGGTTAGCATGAAAATTGAGGTTAATGACATCAGATCACAAATGGAAAGTGACTACGTTATTACAGAACTGCCAGATTATATTATTATGTAACATCCAAATTCTGTCAATACAGAACAGTCAAACCATTGAGAATCATGGTCATGCCTACTTGACTCATGACCTTAACTGTCACAGCCAGCATTAATCTCACTTGGCACATTGGCATTTGTCATTGTCACATATTTTGTTGGTAATAAGTAAGATAGTAGATTTTTTTACTATTATAGATGAGAAATACCTGATAACAAGATAGTGGATAAGTGAGGAGTAGCTATAATAATATGGCATATATTTTAAAAAATCATTGATTTTAAATTTATAGCCTAATATCTTCCAAACTAGAACCATTTCCCATAATACATTTATTTGACTGGAGAATGGGAGTAGTAATTTTCTTAGAGTAGTGTTATGTGTACCACTTTCTGATTGACAGTGTCATCTGTTAACTACAAAAGGAGAAAGTAGAAGGTTAATCTGAAATACCATTGATAAATAAATGTAAAAAAATTCTTTTTCAAGAGGCTGGAGAGGCAGTTGGTTGTTTGGGCCATTATATCATTCACATTGACTTATTTTTTTTATTAAAAAAATGCTTTGAGACTATGAAGTTAAATATCTTAGATTGTGAGCAGTAGAGATGTAGAGCAGCTAACTTTTAAGGTTTTAGAAGTCTTTATAATTGTGCAAATGTTAAATGATAGCAATGATATTTGAGGAGGGGAGAGTGCTTTGTCCCTGGCAGTATGCTCTATTTTGTCATGCCAAGACCAGAAAATCCTCTTTGCTGAAAAGAACCTTGAGTTCTGTTTGGAGAGAGTCATACAGTTTCACGTGTGCAGCACAGGAATTAGAGTGGAAACACTGAGCTAGAATCTTTTGTGAAAAGTCACAGAATGAACTCTCTTGCTTGGTCAGAACACAGTGGAACATGCATGGCAGCACGGGGATCCAGAACTGTATGGCAGCCGTCACAGAATGACTAGGATTTTTCACTTACGCCTTGCCAGGCTTTTGCTTGCTTTTCTGCATGTCCTGCAGGTGCAACTTTTGCAGGTAGTGAGAATGATGGGAAGCCAAGAATGAGAAACAATTATGTAGACTGGGCCTATTCACAAAGAGAAAAAACAAGGGAGCATGATCATGTGTGTCACAAAGAGTTTCCACTCAGTGACCCCTGGCACTTGATACTGAAGTACCAAGGGACTGACCCACTATAGGATTCAGAAGAAAAGGGGCTCAAGTTTTTGCACTGCCTTGACTTCATTGAGAACTTAAATATTTACATATGTGTGTGTAACATATCATACGATTCATTTCCTTATAAATGTCTCAAATTATATAGAGAGTTGTGTGTTGTGTCTCAGACACTGATTATAGAATATAATTAGTTCATTAGTCTGTTTTTTTTAATTACACAATACTTTTTTTCAGTTAATAATTCAATATGGGGAGAAGATGTGCATAGGAACTGTAGCTGGTGAAGGACAGGGAGTCTTTTATAGTTCCTCTGTTGTTCAGTGACTATTAGGATTGTTTGAAAATAAGGGCCTAACTGCGTGATACCCACCACCCTGATACAATCACTGAAGACAAAGCAAGTGCATAATCAAATGTGGTGAAGAAAGCAGATGGTGCCTGGTTATAAAAAGATAGTGTCTGAGGACTTAAAAGCTTGAAGACAAACAATAGGCCATCTAGCAGGGAAGCCACAAAGCCCACATAGAAGAAACACACTAGTGTATGATCATGAGGTGTCAACAGGAACCGGCATCTGAAGTTCAAAAATAACCACTCTCATCCAGGTGATGAAGAGGCATCACGGTGGAGACCCAGAGCCCATCCGTGGATAATTGGATGCTGCTGTGCAGCGGGGCTGCATGGAGGAGAAAAAGCATCCAGGGGCAGTTTAGCACCCACAAAACACAATATTCCTCTAGTTCTTCAATACTCCCCACACACACACACACTGTTATGATCTCAGTCCAACCACACAAATCTGGCTAGACCAGTGTATATACAGCGGCGCAGACAAGAGCTTTCAATACATGGAATTCAGGAAAGACAAACCCCCTCAGAATCAGTAATGGAAGTAAAACTTCCAGGAGGGTGGAGGAAGGGAAGAAAAGGGATAAGAAGGCGGGGAGGGCGATGGATAGCTATGACAGCAGAATAACCCCCCTTGAGGGGGATGAATACCAGGTGAAGGGATAGATGGGTGGTGTAAGATAGTATAAATAATAATAACAGGACATACTATATTAAGGGTTTGCAGGAGTGGCAGGTGGGGAGGGAGGGAAAAACGCTGATATCAAAGGGCTCAAGAAGAAAGAATATTTAGAAATGGCTGACACCTACAATTGTATGTGTCCTCTTGATATAATGGATGTGTGGATGGTTATCATATATGTAAGAGCCCCCAGTAAAATGATTTGTTTAAAACAATGATAACATTTAAATTAAAAAAGAAAATAAAGCGCCTAAAGAGAACCAAAGGTGCCCTGGTGGTGTGTTGGGTTATGCACTGGGCTGTAGCCACAAGATCCGCACTTAGAACCCACTGGTCACTCCTCAAGAGAGAGGAGGCTCGCTGCTCCTGTGAAGATTTACAGCCGAGAAACCCCCAGCGGAAGTCCTGCTGTGTTCTGTAGGGGTCTCGATGAGTCAGAATTGACTCAATGGCTGTGAGCGGAGGGTTTTTGAGAAAGGGAAACCAAATTTTCTGCATCCTAAATACTGTTTAATAACCCTAACTGAACGATGTAGTTCCTTCCCGTACACCTTTATTCAAGGTGCCCAGGTGACGCTGTTGGTGGGAGAATGATGACGCTGCCTCTTCCCCTGGAAGATTTTCACACTGTCTGGTCTTTTGTCACCCATGACTGGTTGCACTTTAGCTTCTCCTCACTCACACCTTGAGCGCCATCCAGCCCGAAGGGTCTGTCCTTGAAAATGCCCTGCTTCCAGCTGACATGTTTGGAAGCTGTGCATAAGTATGCAGGGGCTCCTTCCTCTGAAGTACGGAGCTGGATCATTCTTCATTGTCTGTTTTTGTAGACATTAATAATTTGTTTGCTTTAATGAATGTTTTACATTTAAAATGGATCACTCTTGAAGGACTGACATTCATGGCTTGCCACCTCACAGCATGATGTGAACAGTTACACAGCACCTTTTCCCTAATAGTTCAGTTTAAAATTAGTATAGAGATTGGAGACCTTCAAAGATGGGTGACAGGGACGAAGCAGCAGTGGCTCCTCCCAGCCTGGAGAAGGTCTGCCCTAGCATGGTAATGATATGATTAACATGTGGTGGATGGAGGGCAGGATGACTAGAGCAGTGGTTCTCAACCTTCCTAATGTCACGACCCCTCAATACAGTTCCTCATGTGGTGGTGACCCCCAACCATAAAATTTTTGTCATTGCTACTTCATAACCGTAATTGTACTACTGTTATGAATCAGGCGACCCCTGTGAAAGGGTCGTTCGGCCCCCAAAGGACTTGCGACCCACAGGTTGAGAACCGTTGGACTAGAGAAATAAATCCAGCAATGCTCATATATGTGCAAGAAGGAGCTTTATATCAAGAAAACATCCCAACCAAGTCTAACCCAAGTCCATAAGACTGATACTAATCCATAAGTCCTTCTTCAGACTGAGGGAACCACATAAAATGATGCATAATGCCAGAGGATCACGGACCAGGGTGTGTAAAGTTGTGTGAATCGAGGTCCGTGGAAAATATGGCAGGGCCCCAGCAGGTCTCAGGATGGCCAGCAAGCAGGAAGGTCAAGGCAGAGGGACAGGCAGAGATACCAGCCTCCACAGAGCTATATATCTTGATCAACTATCACATTTTATATGTGTGTGTACATATGTGTTTGGGGGTTGATGATGGGGACAGAGGATTTCTTTCCACTCGGTGTAGCCTTGAAAATTGCCTTGATAAAATTATTGGGCAAGCAGCCACTGAATTAATTGACACATTTTATCTTTGTGTGTCGCATTTCCTAAATCTAGGTTGGTTACGTTACCTTACTCATCTTTAAACCTACTATTAGCCTACAAACTATTTTGTGTTGATTCTGCAAAGTAACACCTTTAAAGTTCATCTGTCCATTACAGTACATACTTGGTGGCTTACACTGGCTCCTAAGAGATAGCAAACTGTTAAGTCAGCACTTTAAGTTGGCAGGGAATGAAAACGGATGAACACTAGCCTGTAGTTTTGGGGACCACAAATTCAAAATGCGTTCATGAGAGATGACTTTTCATGAACTTACTTTACATTTCCTGGAGAAAGAATCCTTCTTATGAAGATGATCGATGCATTCTAAGTGGGGTATGTGGCTATAATGGAGTAATGACATTCCCGTAGTGGCTTGTTGGAATGGGACTCTTGAGAAGTTACTGACAGGCTAGCTGCTTTAAGAAGGGACTTTCTAGAAAGTGACATAACGAGCCAGCTGTATTACTGAAGATGAGAGAAAGGGTTGGATTGGGTTGAATTCAACTTGGGTCCACCTTTACTTAAAAAGCAAAAATGAGTCCTTAGAGAGTTTGGTTTTGTTTTGCTTGAGGAATTGCCCGCATTTCTCGCTGTATTTCAGGGAAGTAGAAGGACGCCTCCACCCACCTACAGAATGAGCCCTTTTGTCTGGCCGCCCCCCTTAAGTCACCAAAGTAGTAGGCGCCTATGGGGAGTGACTTTTTTGGTGTGAGGATGCATAGGAGAAAGATTTACTTTATTTACACGCTTCCTGAAATGAAGCGTCTGTTTCCCAAGTCAGTTTCATATCAAGGTCAGTAATTTTAGCCAGACTGGAGGCAGATAATATCTTTTGTAACAGAGATCTGGATGTTGATCGCGGGGTACCACTGCATCTTCTGGAAGGCTATCACGTGACAGCCTCATCGGGATTATTTTATCAGGCAGAAAGACCGCATTTTCCTTTGCTTTGGTTGCCAGTGTGCTCAGCAAAGATTTTTCCAGAGCATCTGTATATATGAGGCTCTGTGCTGGACACTAGGAGCCCTGGTGGCACTGTCTAGTAAAGATTAGTCTGCTAACCACAAAGTCTGTGGTTCGAACCCACCTGTCACTCCTCGAGAGAAAGCGGAGACCATCTGCTCCCAATGTGATTTACAGCCTGGGAGACCTCAAGTAGGATCGCCAGGAGTTGAAACGGACCTCGTGGTGTGGGTTAGGGTACGTGCTAGGTAGTGGATTCAGTACCTTGTTCGGCATTGATTTCATTGCAGCTGTGACCTGGGCTATGAAGGAGGCTGCAGGGTACTCTGACTGCATGACAGGAGGGAAGCAGGTGGCAGTGGGCAGAATAGACAAACTCCCATTTGACTGGAGCTCTGTAGGATGAATTGGGATTGTCTTAAGTTTCAGCAATGAGCTGCTCATTCAAGCCTAAATGTCAGGCAAGCTTGCAGCATTGCATTGCCAATTACTCTCCCCCTCGTGCGCTTCCCAGTCTCCCTTAGTGTAAGACGTTTTTGCACATGCGATTTTACCACTGTAGGGTGTAAATCACGTGCAGGTTATTAAAAGAGGAAGGCAGCGTTTCTTCCCTGGGAGGCTTTAGGTCAGAGTATCTTACCTCCTCTGTGGCATCTGCAGAACCAGTCGTGACCTGGCCAGCCCTGCAGCAGCAACAACCCGAGTCAGGCCATGGAGATTTAATCATGCGGTGTCCCCTTCCTGAAGAACATGAGCCACCCTGCTGGGCTGGCACGCTGTTTCAGGAGAATTTATATTGTGCCCAGCCAAAATACAAAGTTTACTGAAAGCAGTAGCTACGAGTAACTCTGACTCTAAATCATTTCAAGGTCTTGTATGGACAATGAGAGTGTGTGCCTCCTGACTCAGCTACCCAAATACATGTTCATAAAAGAAACTTCTCTCTTGCATTACAGCCAATGCCATTGTCAGAGCCTCTGTTCCCTCACCTGTGTGTGTTCGTGGTACTTGGTAACCTGATACAACCACAGTGTTAGTCTGAGTACATTAGAGACACAAATCCACAGAAACTCATATGTATAAGAGAGAGTTTTATATCAAGGGTAAGTGCACATCAAGAAAACATCCCAACCCAGTGCTGCCCAAGCGCACAAGTCCAACATTAACCCATATGTCCGACATCAATCCACAAAGAGACCTCCTCCATCTCACAAAACATACACTATGACGTTGATTGCAAGAGGAAAGCTGAATCAGTGAGCGTGTAAGCATCTCAGCGCTGACAGGGGTCTCCACTCGGCTGCTCCAGCACCCAGGGCTGCATTGGGTTAGGTCCATGTGGCTTCTCCTCAGGGATGTCTTACAGGAAGTGAGCCTTGCCAGCTGAAGCAGGGAACTGGCTAAGGCAGCTGCACCCTGGTCCGACCATCAGAAAGCAAGAGACCAGAGAACTAGAAAGATGAGACTCACTGAGCCATTTATCTCTCTGCCCTTCAATTAACCCTACATGTGTTTATCAGCCACGTTGGCACAATAAACTTCAACTATCTCAACCACTGACAGGAAACTGATGCCCTTGGATAAGTAGTTATTATCTCTTTACTGGAAAGAAAATATCTTACTTGCAGGGAAAGTCAATGAGATGCCTCTGATAAGGAGACCCTGCCTTCACTGAGCGCCAGCATCCTATCTCCTTACAGGGTTGTAAGGAGTGTGCAAGTTGGGAAGTTTTCCATGTGGTCTTCCCAGGAGTCCCCACATTGCCCTCAAAAGACCCATCTAGATTGAGAATCCCCCACAAAGTATATTTTTCACTAGAGACTTACATTGACAGTAAGAAAAACATGAAATAAACATTTGAAAGGCTATAGTTTTGAAACATTGCTGTGGCTACACTCACCCAGGTGGAAATATCCTAGGTTCCTTTTATGTGCCCTCGGTGGGCAGAGAACCAATGGGTCAGAGGGTTGGTGAGGCAGGCCTTTGGTCCGACCTGCACTGTTTGTCAGCTTATTTAGGTTCTGTGCCCGGTGCGCAGAGGCATAGGAAGACGGAGTAGAGGTCACCTAGTCGCTGCAAGCGATAACATTTCAGTTCTAGGAATGCTTGTTTTTCAGGGGTTTTCACTTCGTTTTCTAAGTCAAAAGATTGTAAACCAACCGAGCCAACACACCTGGCAGGGAGTAAGGAAAACTCACTGAGTCCACGTGACTAGTCTTTCCCCCGAGAGACAAGAGGATGGCACAACTGGAAACAGTCAGCAATCTGACCTGCTACAGCAGAGTCGCACAGGGCTGTAGCTATGCTACCTGAGGCTAGCTTTGATGTGTCGTTGCAAGTTGAGGGTTAGGAATTTGGTGGCTCCCTGTCCTTTGCATGTGACAACACCTAAGTCAATGTGGTTCGAACAGTGACCCAACGTAATATGTGTCCGTTACAGGCCTGCCTTTGAGATATTGTAGGTTCAGTTCTAAAGCAAATACTGCAATAAAGAAACTCACGTGAATGCTTTGATTGCTTTGATGCATGTACACATTACATCTGTGCCATTGTGTAGTCTGGAGTGTGCAGTAGCATTATCAGGAACATTGAAGTATTGTGAGAATTAACAACAGGCGACACAGAAACACAAAGTGCACATAGGCTGTTGGGCAATGATCACATGTAGACTGGTGAGGATGGGGTTGAGAATGCTTATGTCTTCTGCACCAGTACCAGGTGTGGTGGGGTACAGCACAGGTCTTCCTTTGAGTGTTTTGAAAATCAGTTAGTTACTTAGTTATTAGGCATGAAGAGATGTTCTTGGCATCTCCTGTTCTCTACAGTGTGCATGACACAATCACGGTCTTTCCTCACTGGAGAAAGAAAGAATAATACAGTCTTTTCATGAGACTGTACTAAATGCCAGTCATTGGGGTAAGCACTTTACAGAACCCGTTTGCATGCGTCCCTCACCACAGACCTAGGGGATAACTATACTTTTTACTCTCAGGTTGTAAATGGAGAAACTAAGCCGAGCAAGTTAACTTGTCTGTGTAAAGTCTCACAGCTAGCACGTGGCAGGGTTAGGATTTGTTCCTCCTTCCCCAGACTTCAAAGTCCATGACCCGAGTTACTCCTTGCTCTGGAGGAGGGGAAGGGGCTGAAAGCGACTCCGTCACTTTCCCAATACCTAATGGCTAGGTCGTGTTTTCTGTTAAGCATGGAGCCCTATTCTTGAGCTCTAACTATTTACTCTTTGTTGCCTTCTCTCAGGATGCAGGAAGCCAACAGATAGGGTTCTTGCTTGGAAGCTGTGGAGTTACTGTAGCCTTGACTAGTGATGCTTGCCATAAAGGACTACCAAAAAGCCCAACAGGAGAGATACCACAATTTAAAGGTAAGCCAAAGAGCTCTTGAGAAGTCACTACTTCCCCGTTGTTCGTATCAGGGGACTGACTCTTCGTTTTCAGAAGAACACACTATGGCAGAAGCCCTAGTAGCCCAACAGTTAAATGCTCCACAGCTAACTGGATGGTTGGTAGTTCAAAGCCCCCAACTGCTCCATAGGAGAAAGTTGTGACTATCTGCTTCTGTGGAGATTACGGCATTGGAAACCGTATTCTCTAGTTTTACTTTGCTCTATAGAGTCACAGGAGCCGTGGTGGTGTAGTTGGCTAGGTGTTAGGCTGCAGTCTGCAAGGAGAAAGACAGCACTTTCTATTCATATAAAAAGTTACGGTTTCGGAAAATTATGAGGACGATCCTACCCTGTCCCAAAGGGTCAGCATCAACGTGCTGGCAGTGAGTATAAGGCAGTGGTTCTCAACCTTCCTCATGCCGTGACCCTTTAATACAGTTCCTCCTATTGTGTTGACGCCCCAACCCTAACATTATTTTCATTGCTACTTTATAACTGTCATTTTGCTACTGTCATTCGAGCCCAAAGGGGCCACGGCCCCCAGATTGAGAACCGCTGGTATAGGGTCACTATTGGAACACTGGCTGAATAATGGGTCACATGTTGCACTGCGGCAGCTGGAGGGTTCAAATTGCATAGAAGAAAGTTGAGGCTATCTGTTGCTGTAACGATCTACCTACCATCTTGCAAACTCGGTTGCTATAGATCAACTCGAAGGCAATGGGTTTGCTTTGGGATATACTCTATTGTATCAGTTACAAGTATGTGGGTTTTTTTTTCACATTTAACATCATCAAAATCAGGACAAGTCTTATAATCTGTGGTGTGACATAGTTTAATTGGCAGTGGTTTATAATACTCACTTTGTTCATCTTGCTATAGATGTGATGAATTGCAGAATCACCAAAGATTCATTGTAGTTGGAAGTGTTTGAAAACACCCCGCTTAAATAGAGAGAAATAATTGTATTTTCCAGGCTTTAAGGAAAAGTTTGCATATGTACTTCCTGGGTTCTAACTTAAAAGCAATTTGTGGTTTATCTCCAAGGTTGGCCAAAGCTATTATGGTTTGTCACAGAGTCTAAACATCTCTCTAAGCCTCCTCGAGATTGGTTCCCTCATATTAAGGATGCAAATAATGACACTGCTTATATTGAGGTAAGTCTAGCCTGATCTTCTTCCTTTAGACGTGGCTGTGTACATGGGGAATGGAGTAGCTTACATTTGTGATAGTTACGACAAGTACTGTTGTTGGTGTTATAATTATTGTATCATCTCTAAGCACAGCACTACTCTGTTCACAGTTATTATTTTGGTCTCGTTTCAGTATAAAACGTGTAAGGATGGAAGCGTCCTTGGAGTGACTGTGACAAGAAGTGCACTGCTAACCCACTGCCAAGCCCTCACACAAGCCTGCGGCTACACCGAAGGTACAGCCGGCGCCCCTTTCCCTTCAGTGGGGCCATGACTCCTGTGATGCTGGCTCTGTTCAATGTCTCCTGGGCTTGGGATGTTTTCATGAAGAACCCATGTCATTTCTAGTAATAATAGTAAAACTTAGGCCTAATCCAATGAAGTGGCTGCTTATTAATTTTCTTGTTGTTAATTAATAGTATACAGGCAGTACAATCTATTCCCAGAAAGATTTACAGCCTCGAAATACTGTGTAGGGTCGCTCTGAGTCAGAATCCACTCAACAGCAGTGGGTTTAGACATTTTAAACATGTATAGCCTGGCCGTTTTGTTTTGTTTTGTTTTTTCAATGCCCTACTTCAGCCCACCCCATGCCAAATGAATGCAAATCTCTGAGGATGGTGTCATGAGAACAATTGGTTGCCATCCATGGCTTTTGCCCCTTGCAGAGGATAATCATGAAGGAAAGAGGAGGGGTGGCTAGAAAATGATTGGGCACACAGTACTGAATGGGGCACATTGCAGAAAGGGTCAGGGCACCTGATTTCCTGCTGCATGAAGGTCCTGATTTGGATGCATGCCCCAGTAGATTCTTTGTTAATGCCCCTCTTCATGCATGCCTATCTTCCTGTTTGAATCTCTGAAGGGAAAGTAAGGGGCCCAATACCAAGCCTTTGGTGAGCCCTGAGAGAATGAGCAGGTCAGAGTGTAAGGAACGGTTCGATAAATGCCTCAGGTGTTCAGTGTCCGGCACCACTGGTACAAAACCATGGCTGACAAGGCTTTAGAAGAAACTTCTACATCATTCCTGGCTGGTTCTCTGGCTTTTCATCCACATTCCCGCATTCTGTAATAGTTATTGTCTTCAACTGTGTACTTTTGGCTTGGGGCTAACACACCCATTTGGGGGATGGGTGGGCAGAAAAAACCTTTTTGTATCTCCGTTTTAGGGGCAGGGCACCCCTCTCTCCTCCGTAAGTGTTGAATACGCTTCCATGCATATATTTTTAAATTCCCTCTGCTACCTTTCCTGCCCCGCGCCATCTTTAAGGGCGTCTAGTCGTTGGATGTCGGAAGTGCTTGGCTGGGGATGGGTTTTCTTTGCTGGGTGGGGAGGCCAGAGAGTGAAGCTGCTTCCCTTGGCTGGCAGGCGCACGTGAAGGAAATGAGAATAACTTTTTTTTAAGTGAGGGATGTTAGAAAATACATGATAAAAAGGAAAGGAAGAAAGCCTTTCTGTGAAAGGTAGTGGTAGCAGGTCTAGATTTCTCCTTATATGCCGGAACTTTCATCTGGGGAACATTTTGCAATGGGGCTGATTGGAGGCTGTGGAGTTTCCGCAAAGGTAACTGACCTGATGTTTTCCTGCGCTCCCTTTTTACCCCTGAGGTTATGTTGGATTTTGTTTGTGCTTTGGTCTCTGCTAACTTTTAATTAGTAAACATCCTTTCTGTATTTTTCTTACACAGCTGAAACAATTGTGAATGTATTAGATTTCAAAAAGGATGTTGGCCTCTGGCATGGAATTCTAACAGTAAGTATGACTTCTCTCTTCTCCCCTTTCCCAACTGTGCCCATCTTTACATGTGACTGTGCTCAGGGTTATAAATAGAATTAGGATTTGTGTACAGTGTGGATAATGTGTATGTCAGTTTAGATCATTTCCTTTTGGCCAGATAAGGATAAAAAAACTTTCTTGTTTAGAAGGCTCAATTAATACAGCTCACCAGCAGCTGTTTGTTTGAATCGTTAAATCCAGGTGTTGAGGTTACCGCTGCATTCTCATTATTGTTATTATGTTAGGGACCATCAAGTGGTTTTCCACACAGAGCAACCGTTTCTGACGGAGTAGAACTGCTCCATAAGGATTCCTTAGATGTAATCATTCTTGAAGCAGAAAGCCACACTTTTCACCCACGGAACCACTGGGTGGGTGGATTCAAACTGCCGACCCTGACAGCTAAGTGCTAAAGCCTATGGCCTGCCATAGTCCTCAGAGCGGGCTTTTAAAGGTTCATATAGAGTTCAGTATCTTCCTTCCCACTCATGAACTGCCAATAACTGCAGGCCAGAACTCGGAGCAGCACAACAAACAAGGTGACAGTAGTGACACACGAGCTAATGAAGCAGAAGAGGTGATGATATTGCAAACATTTTGAATGACAGCAATAACTCTGCAACCAAAAACTTGATATATCTCCAATAATGATAGTAACTACTATGAACAATGACCGTTATTTTCTGTTACTGAGACCATGATCACTGAAACATAACCATGTAGGTGTGCTAGGTGCTCATTAAACCTCACGTCACATAGTTCATGAGTGCCTCGCCAACCTTCCAGCCTGAGCAGTTGAGTCAGTTCTGATGCAGGCAGCCCGGGTGTGTCTGAGGAGAGCTGTGTTCCACGGGGTTCTCAGAGCCTGACTTTTCAGAAGTTGATTGCCAGCCTCTTCTCCTGAGATGCCCCTGGATGGACTTGAACTGCTAACTGTGTAGCTGGTAGCTGAGCATGTTAATTGTTTGCACTAGTTAGGGACTTCTACAATTTTCCCAAGCAAGGGAAACCTTCTACTCTAGAGAGCAGTTCATAGACTTCTATGACATCAGTCTGAAAGATACTCTGACCTAACCCCACCTTGGAATAGGGAGGGAGTCAAAGTCAGGGGGAGAATGGGGAAGTTGTCAGCGCCTTCTGGACAGCTGGCAGACCTTCTTCCTAGAAAGGTAGACATCCTCTTTACATTTTGATTCAGAGCTTCTTGAGTTGAATCATTGCCCCCTCATTCTAGCGCCACCCTCTGTCTTATATGGCAATACGAATATACTCAAAGCCAAATAGAAATGATTTTGTCTAATATTTACCATGTTATGGTCCCTGTAACTTCACTCAGCTCTACTAGTGCAGTGTGAATTATGCTGAAGTACGTGTGTAAACAACATCCAGCAGATAGTGGCCATTTAAATATTTGCTCATTCATTGTAAAGAAAGGAGAGCCCTCATGGGGCAGTGGGGCTTACTGTTGGGCTTCTAAGCAGAAGGTCAGTGGTTTGCACCCAACAGCTGCTCTTGAGAGCAGCCTCTTTAGATTCACAGGCTCTGAAAGGAGATGGGTTAGTTCTGTC